TTAGCGCAAATGGCCGTTGCTCTTGAGGTTCGCTCCATTTCGTCATCAAGTCACTTGCATCAATTAGACGAAAATCATCGTTTTGCGCTTTGTGCTGACAATTTTGGATACAATTTTTCTGCTCAGCAATGAAACAAGTCCAGAGTTTTGAACAGAAAGAAGTCATGGAAGAGGAAGTGAATCGAAAATTTTCGATTCATCTGTTAGTTTACTGATGATGGAGAGCCACTGAATTATTCGCCTACCAAATTTCGTCGTCATTTTATGTGAATCGCTTATTTCAGGCGTGTCGTCGACTGCACCAACGTAAAGAGCTGAATGATCACCTATTACCGGTTGGCAAAGATACGATCACACTGACAGCACTCGACGACGATCCCGATGAGTACGTGCCGGATCTAAACTATAAAGTGGGTTCGTCGAGACGAAAACAACTCTACGATAAAAAGGTATTTCTTTATCATTTTGTACGCGATTCTTATTAGATCACATCTTGAAAATGTCATTTCTTCGTACAATAATCTCGATCAGATGGAAGTTTGAAAGGGAAGACTTCAAGGCAGTCAGAATGAAAAATTGAAACGGTCAGAGAGAATCTGAGGAACGTTTAAAACCAATAAATGAAGTGAGTGAATGGATATTGCAGATGACAAAAGCGTTGAACGGTGCACTTCCGGAAGTGAACGACACGTGTTTGATATACGTGATGGAGATGGATTTGAAGAAGGCGGTTACGGGTGCCGCAAACCCGAAAAAGCGCAAAATTGTCAATCCAATCGATACGGAATTTTGTTTCGGTTTCTTATCAAAAAAACCGATTCCCAAGGTGAGTCCTTTGAATGATCACAGTCTTTTTCAGCGATTCGACTGATTCAGATGTCATCCGTTCTGCACATTTATCACGCAACTACTCTTTTATATGCCCATATCAACTTCTTTCCGATCGATCCTTCAATGTAGTGGTCATAATTGAACTTTCGACCGCAGCTAGTAGCATTTCTCCTTCTAGGTACCATCATTCCCCGTATTTCTGCGGCAAGGTCGTATGGAGGCGAATATATTTCTGGCCAGATCGAAGCTGCAGATCGATGCGGAAATGATGGAGTTGTTGAAAGCATTTCATCATTATATATTCGACAATGTTCTGAGATTAGTCAAAGGAGGACTGGCGTTCGTTCCCGACAAAGCACCAGTCAGTGTACTCATTGTACCGCTTCGGAGAGGTTATTCTCTTAGTTTGTTTTTTACATATCTAGAAGCAAGGGAAAAGTTTGGTCGTGTGAATATGAAAATTTTAATGAAAAATAAGAATTGGACTTGTGGTAGAACTACCTTCTCAATAGCTGTTCAGTTTTCTGTGGTAATCAAATCGAATAGGTTATGAACT